TACACACACAAACTGTATTACACACACAAACTGTATTACACACACAAACTGTATTACACACACAAACTGTATTACACTCACACAAACTGTATTACACACACACAAACTGTATTACACTCACACAAACTGTATTACACACACAAACTGTATTACACACACACAAACTTTATTACACACACACAAACTTTATTACACACACACACAAAAAACTGTATTACACACACACACAAACTTTATTACACACACACAAACTTTATTACACACACACACACAAACTTTATTAGTCCATTTTCTGTCCATAAATAACTGCCTTCTCTTTGTTGTTATTGTTATATTTTAAAGTTGTTATTCTTATATTTTAAAGTTTTTATTGTTATATGTTAAAGTTTCCCAGGCTTGGCCCTTTTATTTGTTGTTATTGTTGTATTTTAAAGTTGTTATTGTTATATTTTAAAGTTGTTATTGTTGTATTTTAAAGTTGTTATTCTTATATTTTAAAGTTTTTATTGTTATATGTTAAAGTTTCCCAGGCCTGGCCCCGCCCTCAGCTGGTCACATGACATCCATGCAGGAGCTGAGCCTCTACCTGAGCTCGGTGTTTGGCTCGGGCTCACACAACGTGCTGCTGTTCCTGCAGGACAAGGTCAGTGCACGGCACATGAAGACTACGTGTAGTCCTGTAGGAAGGACTTGGTGTTCACGTAGGATCACGAGGAGAAGCAGTCGTCTCACAACAGACGTGTCATTGTGGTGTGACCCTGAGCTACTTCCTGTTTCATAGTTCCTGAACTACACACATCTGTGCTTCAGTGTTTGATCACAACAGATTTAAAAACTTGACCTGTTTTTATTTCAGCTCAGCAAAGATGACTTCACCGTCTTTGGTGGAGTGTTTGGAAACAAGCAGGACAGCACCTTTAAAAACCTCCAGGTGGGTTTTATCGTACGGCTGCAACAACGAATCCATAAAATCGATTATTAAAAGTGTTGGCAACAAATTTCATTATCGACTCGTTGTGTTGTGTGATTTATGTGTCCCTCACCATGTAGGACAGGTGTTTACACCACCTGCAGAGCGTCGTTAATGCTGTCTGACCTGAATAAAGTTTAGGAAGAATAAAAACTTTACCTTTAAAGATCCGCCCTCTCTGAGACCCTCCAGTGAAAAGTACAGACGTCAAACTTTAAACCAGTTTTTAAATTGTGTTGTTAGTAGGGTTGGCCATAATCGTATCATGTGTGATTAATCATCAGAAAAACATTAATTGATCATTTTTTGGCACTTGATGATTAATATGATTAATGCCAGCAGCAGACTGACTGGAGATAACTGCAGTCAGTCAGTCTGCTGCTCTCTGCTTCAGATATGACAAACATTAAAAAAAAACTAATTTATTTATTTATCTATCAACACAATTAAAATGTGATGTAAAGCCTGAAGTCTGTAATTTTGACACAATTTGAAACAGATTTATCCAAAGAGCAAATCTTTCCCACTAAATTCATCATGTGACCAGGACATAAGGTGTCCAGGGCATTAATCATCAGATTAATCACTATCAGCTAAACAACACAATTAATCATGACTAATTTTTTTGCCAACATTTCACAACCCTAGTTGTTAGGACAAGTAGATCCTAAGATATGATAAAAAGTAAATGTCACATTAAATTTTTTTAAAAGACGGTCTGATTTGATGTGAGGAGGAAACCCATCCCGTGGAAACAAACAAACAAACAAACAAACAAACAAACAAACAAACAAACAAACAAACAAAAAATCCTCTCAGACCAGAAATATAAAACCATCTTTTTTTCTGACCGAGGCTCAAAGTTATTTGATAAAAAACAAAAGCATTCAGGATGAAGGAAAAAACAAAGACGCAGCAGAACTCCTGGTCTGACTCAGTAATGGGGGCTGGGGGGGGGGCTGCTTCAGAACCACTTACTGGGTCATAGAGGACCGTTTTAGCCACAGACAGAACCAACAAGAAGGAAGGAAAACGTAAAGAATTAGAGAAAAGTCATAAATTCTAAATGCAAATAAATTCTAATTA